GTGCCATAGCATCACAGCTCACAGCAACCTCCAGCTCCTGGGCTCAAGCGATTCTCCTGCCTCCGCCTCCTAAGTAGCTGGGACTACAGCACCCACCACAACGCCTGGCTATTTTTTGGTTGCAGCTGTCATTGTTATTTTTGGCAGGCCAGGGCTGGATTCGAACCTTCCAGCTCAGGTGTATGTGGCTGGTGCCTTTGCCGCTTGAGCCACAGGCGCCAAGCTGGAGTTTTAGTTCTTAAGTGAATAACTGGGATATCAGCAAAAACTGAGTTTGAGTACTAAAGTGATTTAGCCATCTACATTGGAATCTGTCTTAAGTGTCTCCAAGGAAAAACAAGAGAAATGCTCTTAAAACAATGGTGCTGAACTTTAGCTGCCTATTAGAATTACCTGGAGAATTAAAAAAAAAAAAAACTTTTCCTAGGGCCCCACTCCCCAGAGAGTCTAATTTAATTAGTCTGGAGTGGGGCCATTTATCCCTCATAGGCTTTTTCTTTTACAGTACCGTTACTAGGTATTTACCCAGAAGAATAAAAATCATTTTACCACAAAGACATTTGCACTAGAATGTTTATTACAGCTCAGTTCATAATTGCCAAGTCGTAGAAGCAACCTAAGTGCCCATCAACCCAGGAATGGATCAACAAACTGGAATATGTATACCATGGAATACTATTCAGCCGTTAAGAAAAGATGGAGCCTTCACATCTTTTACATTTACCTGGATGGAATTGAAATACATTCTTCTTAGTAAAGCCTTGCAAGACTAGAAAAATAGATATCCGTGTACTCCTTACTAATATGAAATCAATTTATAAACAATTACATGCTAATAAGAACAATAAAACGCTAATATAGTCCCAGTTTGGGAATAGAGGAAAGTGGGGGGGGGGAGGACATGAGGTGAGTTCTCACCTAATGTGCACACTGTGAGGGTATATGTTACACCCCTCTGAGTGAGAAGCTCTTTTACAAATGGAACTTTACCCTGGAAGTGAGAACAATGTAACCTAAAAATTGTACCCTCGTATTCGTTTGAATAAAATTTTAACAACAATCTCCCAAGTGAGGCTGGGGCACCGTTGCTCGCACCTGTAATCCTTCAGTTGTGGGGATGGTAGATTGCTTGAGCTCAGGAGTTTGTAACCAATGAGCAAGAAGGAGACACACCATCTCTAAATATAGCTGGCCATTGTGGTGGGTGCCTGTAGTCTCAGCTGCTCGGAAGGCTGAGGGGAGAGGATCTCTTGAGCTCAATAGTTTGAGCTATGATGCTACAGTGACAAAGTGAGACTCTGTCAAATAAATAAATAAAGAAAATCTCCCGGGTTGTTGTAATATGAGACTCTGTCTCAAATAAATAAATAAATAAAATCTCCCAGGTGGTTGTAACATACAGCCAGCATTGACAGCTTTTGTGCCAGTGCCTTATTACTCGATGTGGACCCTGGACCAGCAGCATGACACTAATTGGGAGTTTGTTAGACATGCAGAATCTTAGACCCTATCCCAGATCTGCTGCATCAGAATCTGCATTTTGACAGAATCCCCAGTTCATTTAAAGTTGAGGAGCAGCAACCTAGAACATAGAACCTAAGAGGTACCAGATACACTGACTAAACTTTGCTTAGGATAGAAGTCAACAAATTGTACCCCAGTCTCTTCAGTTCCTTTAGTATTTCTGAAGAGCATGATTTTGGAGTTCTCTTCCATTTTTCTGAAGGGAAGTTTTTGTTACAGTTTAGTTTTTCTTTTCACATTAGATAATGTGGCTATTGCATGAATTACTAAGATAAGAAATTGGATTACAGTGAAACTGGAGGAGGAATGGATAGCATAGTAAGAGCATGAACTCTGGAGCCAAAATGCAAAGGTTCTAAGTCCTCCTGTGCCATTTAGTAACTGTATAATCTCTCTGCTTTGATTTAGTGATAATACCGACATCATGGGTTTGTTGTAAGGTTAAGTGAGCTAGGAGATGTAAAACACTTGAAATAGTGCCTGACACATGGTAAGAGCTCAGTAAATGTTAGCTATGATTAATGACATATGCTCTCCCTACATCATTAACCTATAACAGTTGTTGTCTTCTCTTGAGGAGAGTAGGGAGAGTTTACAATTGTATGTAAGGTAGATTGAGTTGTAGGTGGGTACTTTTATACTTTGGGAAGATAATGTGTGCTGGATAGGTAAGGGGGCTAATGTGGTAAATACCTTTGTGTTTGATAATTGTAATAATAGAACCTCCATAGTTGGCCACATCCCTACCTTGCCCACCTCAACTTGACCTAATTTTCATAAACTATACATGCACTGCATAGATGTATTAGTACAGTAGGCGTAGTTTCTTACGTTGACCAGTTACAGTCCCTTGGGTGGTCAGCTTACAGAGGTTTTATTGTTCATGTACTTAAAGTGCATTTTTTTTTTTTTTTTTTTTTTTTTTGCAATTTTTAGCTAGGGCTGGGTTTGAACCTGTCACCTCTGGCATATGGGGCTGGTGCCCTACTCCTTTGAGCCACAGGCACCGCCCTTAGCCAGTACTGAGACAAATCCATAATTGGTGCCTCCTGATATGATACACTAAGGACATAACTTTACTTCTGTGCAATTCCTGCCAAAAAATGCATAACCTTGAGTCTAATCATTACAAAACATCAGACAGACCCAACTGAAGGACATCCTATAAAGTAAATGGACTGTACTCTTCAAAAATGTCAAGGTCATGAGAGACAAAGACTGAAGAACTGTTGCACATTAAAGGAGATTAAAAGAGACATGCCAGCTCCACACCTGTAGCTCAGGGGGCTAGGGTGCCAGCCACATACACTGAGGGCAACATTTTGAGACTGTCTCAAAAAAAAAGAAAAAAGAGACATGCTTTCTATTTTTTCTTTTCTTTTTTTTTTTGAGACTGAGTCTCAGTTTGTCACCCTCAGTAGAGTATTGTGGTGTCACAGCTCACAGCAACTTCAAACCTCAGCCTCTTGAGTAGCTGGAACTACAGGCGCCTGCCACAATGCCTGGCTATTTTTTTTTTTTTTTTAACAGTTGAGGTCTCACTCTGGCTCAGGTTGGTCTTGAACCTGTGAGTTCAGGCAATCCACTCATCTCAAGCCTCCCACAGTGCTAGGATTATAGATGTGAGCCACCATGCTGGTCAGGGGAGACCTGCCTTCTAAATGCAACATGTGATCCTGGATTAAGATACTAGTTGGCAAAATTTGACTAGGTCTTTAGGTAATATTAGGACCCCTGATTTTTGATAATCATACTAGGGTATACAGTGATGTACTATATACATAATAACATGATCAGCAGTGGAGTGCATCTACAATATCCCATGCTTATAAAACCATACTTTTACCTTACCTTTTCTATTTTTGGATATGTTTAAATACAGGACTACCTAATCATTGTGTTACAGTTGCCTACAGTATTTGATACAGTAATATGCTGTACATCTTTGTGGCCTAGGAGCAATAGAACATATACTATGTAGCTTAAATGTGTAGTAGCCTACAATATCTAGGTCTGTGTACATTCTGTAATGTTTATACAATGTTGAGATAGCCTACCAAATTTCTGGGAACATGAATGACACATGACTCTATATGTAAGCATATCCTCATTTTTAGGAAATATTACAAAAGTATTTAAGCAGGTATTTCACAATAAAAAGTATTAAGCAAGTAAATGTTAAGTAAAATGTTAACATTGGAAAATCTGAGTGAATGCTTTATAGCTGGGATGTTCAACCTGCAGCCCATAGAATGTGTGCTGATTAATAAGGATTGTTTTGCTTATCTGTGGTGTTGGTATCTGTGGTAAAAGGTATGCACGGACTTTTTTTTGCTCATGCGCTTTCTTTAGTGTTTGTGTATTTTATTTGTGCCCCAAGGCAACTCTTAATTCTTCTGATTTCCTTAGAGAAGAAAAAAGCTTGGACACCCCTGGTGTATAGGAATCTACTGATTTTGTAGTTCTGAAAGTCTGAAATTATTTCAGAATAAAAAGTAAAATGCTGACATTAAATTTAATTATAGTACAAAAACTTATTTTTAAAACTTACAGTTTATAAATGCTTGTCTGGTACCTTTCAATGATTGTTCCTCCACTCACATGCTGGGACATTGATGTGGTTCATGTAGGACTGTGGACTGGAGCACGTACATAGGTCTCTCCAGCATGGCAATCTTAGGTACTTGGGCTTCTTCCACGGCAGTTCAGGGTTCCTGGAGAGAGTGTTTCAAAAGGCCTTAATGGAAGCTGCAGGTCTTCTTACAACCAAGCCTCAGAAGTCCCAGAATATCCTTTCTACTGTATTATGTAATCAAGAGATTTACTAAGGCCCAGGTTCAGAGGGAACGATATTCAGCTGCACTTACAGAGAAGAAGGTAGCAAAGAATTTACAACCATTATTTATCTGCTACAATGAGAACTTACTTCAAGTGATGATTTATAAATTTGGAAATCTTACATTTCTTAGTCTAACATTTTTTTAGTGACATGTTATTGAAGGATATTTCATTAGCTATAACAACTGTGTAAATGAGCAAACATTTGGTTAATGTAATAAAAATCTGTTTTTTCTCAGTCATAGGACTTTTCTCTACTAGTCAGATACTTTTATTTTTATTTATTTTTTTGGGGGGGTGGGACAGAGTCTCACTGTGTTGCCCTTGGTAGAGTACTGTGGCATCATAGTTCATAGCAACCTCAAACTCCTGGGCTTAAGCAATTATCTTGCTTCAGCCTCGCCAGGTAGCTGGCGACTACAGGTGTCTGCCACAACGCCCAGCTATTTTTTTGTTGTAGTTGTCCTTACTGTTTAGCAAGTCTGGTCTGGGCTTGAACCCGCCAGCCCCGCTGTATGTGGCCGGCACCCTAACTGCTGAGCTATAGGAGTTGAGCCTAGGCAGATACTTTTAGGCTTCTTGAAAATTTATTGGTAAAAGGAGGGCTATAAATACAAAATAAAATAATTCTTAAATTAATCAATGTATAGATTATTTGTGAAGTTGCATTTTATTCTGATCTTGCAGTGTTGACTTAACCAATGAAGAAGCAACTGAGTCTACTAGTTCTAAAATCAGCCCGTCTGCAGATACTCAGCAAGAAGATGGCAGCGTATTCTCTTTCATTACCTGGAATATTGATGGACTGGATCTAAATAATCTGCCAGAGAGGGCTCGAGGGGTGTGTTCCTATTTGACTTTGTAAGTGTTATCTAAAGGTTTGAATTTGACCTGGGTTTAGAGACTGGCTCTGAGAGGAAGCATCTGAAGGAAATGAGATGATTGCCTTTGAGAGCAGGATTTTGGACTAGAGTGAAGAGGAAACTCATTTTTGTTAGAAGCTTTTTAGTATTGTTTTATTATTAAACTTTATATATAATTACTGCTATGAGATTTAAATTACCAAAAAGATCTGTTAGACTCTGTGACCTTGGGCAAACCACTTAAGTTCTCTGGAACTCAGTGTTCTTCATTGTAGATAACAATAATGGCTTCAAGAGGAAATTCCAAAGAGAGTACAATAAAAACATCTATTAGATTAACCAGTTTGATGAAAATATTTCAAATGGTGTATAAAACCAGCACATTGTACCCCAAGATTGCATTAATGTACACAGCTATGATTTAATAAAAACAAAACATCTATTAGAGTGTAGGCTCTCAAAGTAGTGGTTTCTATTTTCAGTCATTCTAGTTTTAAAATATGATTGTTACAGTACTATGTGTTAAATTGCACAGATCTTTCTCATTTTATAGTTACCAAAAATCAGTGTGAACATTGAATGTCAGTTGTCCTAGACAGTAGTAGTTTTGTCTTTTTATTATGTCATGGAATTTCCTTCATTTAGATAGCTAAAAATGAAATGGTGTACTCAGTGTTTATCATAAATTGATGTTTTTAATTAGGTACACGCCTGATGTGGTATTTCTACAGGAAGTTATTCCCCCATATTATAGTTACCTAAAGAAGAGAGCAAGTAATTATGAGATTATTACAGGTAATAATTTTCCTATTATTTAACTTGTTTTTTTCCTTGAAAAACAGATTGATGAAAGAAGATAAATCAAAGTTAGCCTATCAGAACATAGAGAAGAAAAGCACAAATAAGTTTAAGAAAAGTAAGATATATACTAAAAGAATTATAGGACAATATTTTATACAGCTTAATGTTAATAAGTGTAAAAAAGTGAGATAGATGATTTTTTAGGAAAATATAATTACTAAAGTTTGAGGTACTAACTTTTTGGTGAAATTCAATTGTTCAAAGTTTTTAGTATGATAATCACATTATGGTTATCCTTTTTTCAAAAAGTCTTTATCACTGTTAATTCCTTTTTATTTATTTTGTTCTTTTTCTAGCTTTTGCCCTGAGTAAATTAGTTTTCTGATTACTCATCTATGTTGTTTTTGCTAAATACCATTTGACTATATCTTATGATTTTCATATATAGTTGTTTTTTCAAATCCATGAAGAATTGGTTCCAGGACTCCCTCTCCCCTCACGGACATTGAAATTCACATGTACTCTGAAGTCCCTCGGTTGGTCCTATGGAACTTGAGTATAGGAAAAACAGGCTGTCCATATCTGTGTGTTGAACATCCCGCATGTAGTATTTTCCATCTATATTTGGTGGATACAGAGGATCAAATATATCTAAGTGGATCCATACAGTTCAAACCTGTATTTTTTAAGGGTCAACTGGTTAGTGTTTTCTTTGTCTTTCACTTTTATGCAATATGTGTGTGTGTGTGTGTGTGTATATATATATAGATATATATATATATTTTTTTGAGATAGAGTCTCACTTTGTCGTCCTTGATAGAATGCCATTGCATCATAGCTCACAGCAATCTTGAACTCTTGGGCTCAAGCAGTCCTCTTGCTTCACCCTCCCTACTTGCTGGGACTACGGGCACTCGCCATAATGCCTGGCTATTTTTTAGAGATGGGATCTAGCTCTTGCTCAGGCTGACCTCAAACTCCTGAGCTCAGGCAATCCACCTGCCTTGGCCTCCCAGAGTGCTGGGATTATAGGCATGAGCCACTGCACCCAGCCCCACTTTTATGTAAAATGTGATTTTTAATTTTGATGTATTCTTAATCCAGAATTCCTGAAAAGAGAATTCACTCTCAGTCTCTGTGGTCTCTCTTCTTTAGGACTTCTTTTCTGCATTTTCTTAGGGATTCTCTTTGGATTTCTTGTTTTCTGCATCCTATGCTTTCCTCCTCCTTTATTTACATCCTTGTTTTACTGGAGTTCATTCTCTAATTACTTTCTGAGAAGAAATGCATAGAGAGTGAATTTTTAATTCTACCGTATTTGTAAATGCCTGTGTTTTAGCCTCATAGTTAGCTGATAGTTTGCCCGGGTGTAGATTTCTTGGTGTTAAGTAATTTTCCTCACAATTTTGAAGGTCGTGAAGAAGGATATTTCACAGCTATAATGTTGAAGAAATCAAAAGTGAAATTAAAAAGCCACGAGGTTATTCCTTTTCCAGATACCAAAATGATGAGAAACCTATTATGTGTACGTGTAAGTAATTTTTGAAAATTGCCTTTTTTGTAAAAAGGATAGGCTTTTTTTTTTTTACAGTTTTTCATGTTGTCCTATTGTAAAACTATTACTTTCACAGAAAAAATTGCATCTTACATATAGTCTTTTAAATAGTCTTAAAGAACTTTGTAAGTTAAATTTTTACATAAATTTTAAATATAGACAGACTTGTTAAAATAGAATTTGATTTTTGGCCAGGGCTGGGTTTGAAGCCACCACCTCCGGTATATAGGGCTGGGGCCCTACTCCTTGAGCCATAGGCACCACCCTGAAAATAGAATTCTTAATCTATTGGATATTTTCCTAAGGATATTTGAAAGTTTCCTAACATCCCACATTTGCTTTCTGAAGTAATGTTTTTCATTTCAGCTCTAGGCATGGTACAGTGTTGTACTCTATGAGACTCACAAACATGAGTCAAGTAGATCTTGCTCTTATGCAGTTTATAAAGTAGTATGGGAGAGTAGATACATAGTAACTAAAATACAGAAAAGACTTAAGTGCCACAGGAGAAGTATAAGTGATATTCCATGGAAGTTGAGAGAAAAGGAGAGATGGCTTTTAGCCAGATTATTTAGTGAAAGTTTCATGAAGGCAGTGGTATTCAAATTGGGCCCTGAAAAATATGTAAGATGTAGACATTAAGAGGAGTCTAGGTGGAGAAGTCACTAGGAGTGAACTTTTGTAAGCTGCAAGAGGTGTGTATGTACCAGTATGGACGAGCATTCTGTTCACTTGGGTGCAGAGAATGTGAGAAGGGTAGTTTGACAGAAGGTTGGGAAGTAGGTGGGATCCAGATTATAGAAGAGCATGAATGCTTAGTATGAAAGAATTGGACTTGATTCTGCAGGCCCTTACATAATGATATAGCGTATATTGTCAGTGTCTTAAGTGCAAGTGGCAAATGATATTCATTCAATTAACTAACATTTTTTTGAAGACCTGTATGCTGGGCACTTAGGAATATAGCAAGAAATAAGACCCATCTCTAATTGCAAATGACTTTGTAGGAGGGAAATAATTTGCTTTTAATTTAGTCTAGAGGCCTTTAAAGCAGTCTGTCTAGCATGCTATTGGAGTGTAGAGGAGGGAGCCATTGAAGAGCTGGGGATATTGGGGAAGGGCTCACAGTGGAGGTGACATCTGGGTTAGGGTGTGCTTGCTAAACAGTTTTCTTTGGGGACAAGGTTCTCACTTTATACTTCTTTTGACCCAGAAGGTTGGGCATAATGTTAGTTATAAAATTTCAGTTTAATAATATAGCAATTGATGGAACAGTTTGCTGACAATTTTAATGACTCTTTATCCTTTTGCAGGTGAGTGTGTCGGGAAGTGAATTTTACCTTATGACTTCCCATTTGGAGAGCACCAAAGGGCATGCTAAGGAACGAATGAATCAGTTAAAAATTGTCTTAAAGAAAATGCAAGAGGCTCCAGAATCAGCTACAGTTATATTTGCAGGAGATACAAATTTAAGGGATCAAGAAGTGAGTGACAAAGGCAGTTCAACGTATATGGGCAGGCTGAGTATGGTGGCTCATGCCTGTAATCCAAACCTTGGGAGACTGAGGTGGGATGGTTATTTTAGGCTAAGGAGTTTGAGACCAGCCTGGATGGGTGACAGGCTGTCTCTTAAAAAAAAGATGGAGGGTGACCATGATAGTTGTCCCTAACACTCTTTTTGAGGTTTCCTTTTTTTTTCTTCTCCTTTCTTTTATTCCTTCCTCTCTTTCCTTTTCTTCTTTTCCTCTCCCCATCCCCCATTCCCTCTCTTCCCCTTCCTTCTGTATATTTTTATTTATTTATTTGATACAGAGTCTCAAGCTGTTGCCCTGGGTAGAGTGCCATGATGTCATAGCTCACAGCAACCTCAAACAACTGGGCTTAAGCGATTATCTTGCCTCAGGCTCCCAAGTAGCTAGGACTACAGGCCCCTGCCACAATACCTGGCTATATTTTGTTGTTGTTGTTGTTGTTGTTAGCTGTCTCCTAGCATCGGTGTATGTGGGTGGCACCCTATGCACTGAGCTATGGGCGCTGCCCTTCCTTCTGTTTATTAACCTTTTTTTAACTCCCTTTTCCTGCTACATGCTTATGTTCATGTTCCCAGATCTGAAACAAAGACTCTTTCTCCTTAGTTTAGTTGAGACATATTTAGATTTTTCAGGATCTTAAAAAATTATACACAGAATTATAATATGATCGAGAAATTCTACTTTTAAGTACCTAAAAGTAGAAACCTAATAGAAGTGAAAACAGTGACTTGAACAGGTATTCATACACCCATCTATGTTCACAGCAATATTATTCACAATGGCCAAAAGGTGGATATAACCCAAGTGTCATCGATAGCTGACTAGATAAAGAAAAATGTGGTATATACATACAATAGAATATTAGTCTTAAAAAGGCACATGCTGCAACATGGATGAATCTTAAAGACATAAGCTAACTGAAGCCAGTCAAAAAAGGAAAATATATGATGCCTTTTATGTAAATTTCCTAAGCTAGTCTAATTCATAGAGACAGTAATTCATAGAGACAGAGACTGAGGGTATGAGAGAATGGTAAATTAGTGTTCAATAGACACAGTTTCATTTGGGGAATATGAACATTTTCTGAAGATGACGGATGATGGTGATGGTTGTACAATAGTGTGATGTACTTAATGCCACAGAACTCTCCACTTAAAAGTTAGTTAAAATGACAAACCTTATGTTGTGTACATATTTTATCACATAATTTCTTCTAATCCTAGAGTGAATGGGAAAAGGAAGAATTAATATTACTAGTAAATTTCAAATAAAACTCTGAAAGTAATTGACATTGCTGGATTACATAAACACTGTCCCTCTAAATTAGTAGACGAGAGTAGCAGTTGTGCCTTTGTTTTCACTTGAGTTCATTTTTTACAAACAGCAATAATAGGCCATGGGTGCTCAGGTTTCTGAATTTTATCTGACCCAAAGTCAGGAAACTATTTATGGCAGAAGAGAAGGAGCATATTTTAAGCCTCCCTAGCTATCTTACTATTTTTGTATTACCTATTGTGAATAAAGTAGCATAATACTTTTTTAATGTACTGATTGTTTTGAATATGTACATTAATAAATTCTGACATTCCAATTTGAACTGTTACACTTAGACATGGTGTAATAGCAACGACATCTTTTTAAATTAGGGGGAGAATGCTATGTAATTCTTACAGAACTTTTTTTTTCTTTTCAGGTTACCAAATATGGTGGTTTACCCAACAACATTTTGGACGTCTGGGAGTTTTTAGGCAAACCTAAACATTGCCAGTATACATGGGATACACAGATGAATTCTAATCTTGGAATAACTTCTACTTGTAAGCTTCGTTTTGATCGGATATTTTTCAGAACAGCCGGAGAAGAGAGCCACATTATTCCCCGAAGTTTAGACCTCCTTGGGTTGGAAAAACTGGACTGTGGTAGATTTCCTAGTGATCATTGGGGTCTTCTGTGCAACTTAGATATAATATTATGAAATGCTTTCAAATATGAGTTTTAAATGTTTTATTCTGGATTTTTGCAAATACAATTTCTACCTTATGGAAAGGTAAGTTTACTATGGAGCAGTTAATATCTTGGATCATTGTAACAGGAAAAAAAGCAACTATAAGTTCTATTTTGTGATTGTGTCCTCAGAATTTAAGATTAAAGATTAATGGTTATTTAAACTAAAGCATTTCCTGTATTCAAAATGTAAGGTCTTCTAATGCAAAAGGCACAAAGTCTGTCAGAGTTTTTAACAGTGTGTGTAGCTGCTGGCTGGATTACAAGCAGGGGCCACATTGTTTTGGGGCTAAATTTTGTATTTATTTTTGCAATCAGGTATTAAAATAGTTAATATTTTAAGTAAGTCTTAAATAGAATCCTGAGTTTTTGGGACTGTATATTTTGATTATATTTCAGAAGTTCAGATAATCTTAAAAACCAATGATCATCAGTAGTTAAGTAGATAATAACTATCCTACATCAGACTTTTATTTTTGAAAGCTAATGGTACATAACTGGTGAGGTAAAGGTACATGAATAAATGATTTGATTCATTTGTATAGTTACGTTGCCAACAGAGTAAAGTTAGATGGGATATTGATTGAAATCAATTTATATAACATCATGGGATTCTTTTGCTAAGAGAAAAATAAAGAGAAATACCCTTTTAATTTTGTTACTTATGAACTGGAAATATAGGAAGTGAATAAAAAGTACTTTTAAAAGTGCTTTAAAGAATTTTTTCCCACAAAAGACATACCCTTTAAATAAAGAATTTTACTTGCTTATAGTTGCAGTATGTTTTTGCATCCATGATGGAATTAAAGTTTTTACCTCTTTCCTGTTTTTGCTACTTCTTATTTATGTTCCTTTTTACTTCACCAAGAATTACGAGGAATACTTTTGCTTCCTTAGTATTAAAGAAAAGCCAGTGGAGGCCAGACACAGTGGCTCACACCTGTAATCCCTAGCACTTTGGGAGGTCAAAGCAGGTGGATCACCTGAGTTCAGGAGTTTGAGACCTGCCTGAGCAAGAGCAAAACCCCATATCTTAAAAAAAAGAAAAAAATATCTGGGAGTTGTGGAGGGTGCCTGTAGTCCCAGCTACTTGGGAGGCTGAGGCGGGAGGATTGCTTTAGCCCAAGAGTTTGAGGTTGCTGTGAGCTATGATGCCACCACAGTACTGAGAGAACAAACTGAGACTCTTGTCTCAAAAAAACCCAGTGGAAATAAGTAGAAGTAACAGAACCTTCTTTTCTTTTTTTTTCTTTCTTTCTTTTTTTTGAGACAGAATCTCATTATGTCACCCTCAGTAGAGTATCATGGTGTCACATCTCACAGCAACCTCAAACTCTTGGGCTTAAGCGATTCTTTTGCCTCAGCCTTCCAAGTAGCTGGGACTACTGGCGCCCACCACAGCACCCAGTTATTTTTTTTGTTGCCATTGACATGTTCAGCTGGCCCAGGCTGGGTTTGAACCCACCAGCCTTGGTGTATGTGGCTGGTGCTGTTAACCACTGTGCCACGGGCACTGAGCCCAGAACATTATTTTCATCAGAGTGCCAAAGTTAAAGTATGCAAAAAAAGACAAATTGAATTTATATGTAATATTCCCTTTTTAGTGACAACAGAAAATTTATATTTTAGACATAATTATAACCATTAAAAAGTGAGAATTGTAGCATACATTATAGATGTAATACAGTAGTTTATTTCTGTGGGAAAAGGATCATTCTGGCATAAATTGCTTATTTGGAAAAATTGTTAGAAGAACCTCATATTACAGAAAAAGAGATGAATGAAAAATATAAAATATCCAGTGTGGTGAATTAGGTTAAATAAAAGGATTGTCAAATTGTTTTAAAAACCATGAAAGTATCATTTTCTTTATATAACCTGATAGCATCCACATGAAATGCCTTCCTATGTATAATAGCTTATTTTTTTCCCTGCATATAGCTTATTAAAAAATCTAAACAAGTCATAAGTGAAGTATATAGGAACAACCAAATCCCTTTTAGTCTTTTCATGAGCAACAGTTCTCAAACAATGAAAGACTTAAGAATCTGTGAATTTAATGTTTTACTTGGACTCTTTCAAAGTTTTTCCATTGTAGTAGCTTCACTTATTTCCCTTCTTGATGAAATCCTAACTTGGATCTCATATTTCAGTGAGGCAACACTTTCATTATGCTGAGCAACATTTTTACCACTGAAGTGGCATGTACTTTGCTAAACCTCCATTTCTCCCAATTTAATAGTAAGATAGTTCTTTGCCTTTTATTGTGTGAATGTCCCAACCAAGAGCAAAGCAAAGTAAAAAATTGTACTAAGGATATGTTTTTTGCCCTTAGTACTACCTATTGTAGTGTCTAGCTTAGTGATTGTCCACTGAATGAAGAGAAGTGAAAGGTAGTGGCCTCACAGCTGTACTTTAAGGAAGCAGACTAACATTTTCATACAGTAGCAACATAGATACGTGCATTATAAGTGAAAATAGATATTTTTCAAGAGTGAGTCTCTGTTGCCCAGGCTAGTGTGCTATGTTGTCAGCCTGACTCAGAGCAACTTCAGACTCCTGGGCTCAGGAGATCCTTCTGCCTCAACCCCTTGAGTAGCTGGACTTCAGGTACCTGCCACAAAGCCTGGCTAGTTTTCCTATTTTTAGTAGAGATGGGGTCTCTTGCTCAGGCTAGTTTCCTGAACTCTAATGATCTTCCTGCCTAAGCCTCCCAGAGTGCCAGGATTATAGGTGAGAGAGCCACTGCCCAGCCTAGATACTCATTTTAATGGCTCTGAGTTTAAAAAAATGTTAATAGTTTAACATTCTGGGCTAAGCATACTTACCTAAAGATACATATTTATTTAAAGGCTAATCAGCTAAAGACCAATGGGGCCAAAATCAGGTGCATTGTTTTGATGTATTAAGAATGGGCACACCATAGGTACTGGTGTGGAATGCCACATGAGAAGAGGAAGTGGCTTATAAGGTTTGGGCTCCTGTTGGATCCTGAGGAGAGTCTTGGAATAGGAGTTTGGCTCCAGTTGATTGCTGTTTTGGAAGCAGACTGGGAAAGCTGGGGACAACTAGGGATTGAAAGGGTGCTGTCATGAGGTGAAGGGAGTTCAGCAATTGGGCGTCCTCAATTATGGAAGGAAATAGCAAAGTGAAGGGAGCAGTCATCATTCAAAGGGAGTTATTTTATAGCTACTGCATGACTTTAGAAGAAACATTTCCTGTTAACTTATTTCTGGCTTTATCTGTGTTTGTCTTCTCTGATTGATCATTAGCAAGACTACCTTTTTCTTTTTAGTCCAGGCTGATGTTCACTTTCCATCCTGGACAGGTTTTTACTCTTTTGATGTGCATTATCTCATTTAATTCCCAGAAGCATCCTCCATGAGTGTTATTATTGTAGTATCTCCATTTTATAGTTGACGAAACTGAGGTTTATCAGGATTATGTAATTCATCCAAGGCTCCTCCGTAGCTAGTGAGTTGCCTAGTATTCATCAGGTCTGTGTGACTCAGTCCTAAGCACTGCACTTTACTTCATAGTGGTGGGATGTACAAGGAATGCCTTCAGGGTTGGGGAACCTGTGGCCCTAGGACCACATGTGCCTTCTGGATCCTTGAATGTGGCATTTTGACCCAATCCAAATTTTAAAGAACAAAATCCTTTTAATAAAGGGGTTTGTTCTTTGACATTTGGATTCCATCAAGGGATCCTGCACTTGGGGATCTGGAGGGTCACATGTAGACTTGAGGCTGCAGATCACCCACCTCTGCCTGGCTACATTTTCTGCCCAGTGTCTTCAACCCCAGATGCTTTATCTTCTTTATTATCCAAACTTTTCCTTTCATTTTTAGGACAAAGGAAACAAATGAAAAGGAAACTTCATTTTGGAACAAAGATAAACACTAAAAATGAAAGGAAGAACCTTCCACATGAATTTTCATTGGTTCAGATTATCACCTTCCCCAAGACCCCTGTCACCCTTTAATCCTGCAAAGCCTGGAGTTGATCTGAGGGCCCCTCAACACAAGTTTCCTTTCTCAATCAGCAGCACACACTCAAATGGAAAGATAGAGTAGGGCCCAAAGAGACTTCCCCTGAAACAGTGGCACTTGCATAGCTTCACTGACTTTGCTTTGAGGGACACATTCATGAACTGTCATTGACGCCAACAGTGCACTCAGGGTTCTCTTGAGCCACCCTGGCCCTGGCATTTGTTTGGATGGAAAGGAAATGGTGGCAGGAAAGGGGTAGGCGAAGGGAAAAGAGGTAGGGGACGGTGGTCGCTCTGCTTCCCTAAAATCTTATGCTTTGTCCTCTGTGTGATAGGAGTCTGTCCCCTGATTGGTGGCCTCCATAGGCAAATAAGGTGTTGGGCAGGGGCGGCGCCTGCCCATCCCCGGGGGCAGGTGTGCGCGTGCGTGCGCGTCGCCGGGGTAACCGCGGCAGCGGAAAGGCGCTGAATCACTGGCGCGCGCTTTCCCGTAGTCTGCAAAAGCTGCCTCGAGCTACAGGCGGGGAACCCCCCAGGGTGCAGCCTGGCTGAACTGGTGCTTTCTTCCGCCGGCCTACCTGGGAACGCGCTGAGCGGTGGCGGCGATCACTGTCACTGCTGGAGGTAAGAGCACAGCAGTATCCTCAGCCTGCCTTGGGTTTGGTCCAAAGAACCTCCTGTGGGGTGTGTGTCCAGGGGAAGAGGGTGTGAGGGTTTTGCTGTGGTGGGGCGGTACCTTTGACAGCAGTTGCATGCGCTAGGGCATAAATGTGTGGGTGTGTGTGTAAGGCCCGTGATGACGACAAAGGAGCAAGTGGGACAGCGAGGGATGTCTTGGGCAGGCCAGAAGCACCAACTGGGGTGAGCTTTACTGTCACCAACTGTGACCCCAGCTATCCCAGCCTGACTGGTCGAGTGATAGGAAGGGAGGGCAGTAAGTAGACAAGTAATGCCAAAGAAAAATAGAATCAAGAGATCCTGAGTTCAGGAGGTAGGTTTCTTAAGATTCTTCTGAACACCTAGGAAAGGGCATTTCCTGACTCCTGCACTGATTGTTTCTTGGTAGGGTGGAGTCGGGAAATTTTGGATGTTTTTCCCAACGTTAGGAATTGCATTTTTTAGAGATGAAGAATCATTTTCTATAGACTTCATTTAGTACTATTTATGTGATGT